ATGTCTGGCACAAGTGTTTATTGACAGAACAAATCAATCAGTAGGTTGCCCAAGGCTATAGGAGCCCCTACTATTCACTGGGAATTCCCTCTGGAGTCCTCAGGACTGCAGAAAGCTCAGTGACCAGAAGGTGACTAAGCACCCAGAGGCCTTTAGTCCCAAGAACATGACAGCAGAGATTGAAGTTACCCATTCATTCATTCATTCACTGAACAAAAGTTTGTTAAGATGCTACCATAATCCTCATGCTGCACTGACCACAGTGAATGACAGATGAGGCAAATTCAGGCTCTGTCTTCCTGATGCTAAGTACACTGCCACAACACCGTGTGACAGGCACAATAAGGGGTTGTATGAGATGGCAAAGGAAGAACACCAAATCCACACTTGGGAGAGCTAGAGAAAGCTTTCGTGAGAAACGAACCCTGGAGAGGTGGGTTGAAGGTCTTGACAATGTTAAGAACAAAAGAAGTATAAAGAAAGTAAGGACATCCAGAAAATGATGGGTTGGGGGAAGAACACTGGTCCACCGGTCATGCCAGTTCACTGTAGCTAGAGCGGAAATGATGTTGAGGTCTGTGAAAGCAGAGGCTGGCAAGGATAGGAGAAGCCTAGACTAGAAGGCCCTTGTCTTTACGATAAGACATATCAGCTTTTGCCAGGCACAGTGGTACATACCCATAATCTTAACACTCTGGGTGGCTGAGACAGGAGGATCACAAGTTCAAGCTCAGCCTGGGCAGCTTAGTGAGACTGTATCTCAAAATAAAAAGTAAACAAAATGGGCTAAGTGTGTAGCTCAGTGTGAAGGCCCTGGATTCAATCCCCATTCAATTCCCAGCGGGGGAAAAAGCAAAGCAAAGAATCAGTTTTCTTCTGAAAGCAGTGTAAATCATTGAGGGGTTTAAGCAGGAGAGTGTCAAGATCATTTGCATTTTGAATCTCATCCTGGATGCTGTGGACAGTGGATTTTAGGGATGGAGAACAGAGGCAAAAATAACACTCTGTAGGGAGGTTGTTGTGTTGACCAGGCCACAGAGAGTGGAGTAGAAGGTACCTGGGAATTCTTCATGGCTCACTGTGATTGAAGAGGGAGGGGAAGAGTGGGCAAGGAATCTGCAAAAGAGTGAAAGTCAGATGGGTGCTTCCTTTGAGTATCGGGTGGACTCTTTTCCCCTGATAGCTTTTTGCAGAAGGCATCTTGTGGTCCATGGGCAGGAGAGTGAGATCTGAATTCTAATTCAGGAAGCTCCCCTTCTTGCTTCGTATGTGATCTTGCCCTCACGGTCCATTGGAGCTGCAAGTATGCGAGGAACCCCTGAGTGGGCTTTCAGGAGCTTTGAAGTTGGATATTGCAGCCCATGGAAGATGAGGTTTAGGGACCACAGAGGCTTCAGAGAATACAGGTAGAAATCAGTGAAAGATAATGGTAGCGCTGGGCTTCTAGGGGATTGGAGGGAGAAAATCTGCATCTAATCTCCAATGAGCTTGGGAAAATCATTTGAGCTCCAAGAAGAAAATGATCTACACAAGCCCATGAGCCCATTCTTGTTATAAAACAAGAACTGAGATATCTGTCTCTGCGTATGTTGAGTGAAATAACACATGTAGTAATACTTTGGAAACGAGGCATGGTTAACTATTTACATGTTGGAAACCCGCGTGGCTGTGACACGTGGGGCGGTGAGCGGAGGTGTGGCCAGTCCCACAGACACGGCTTGAGGGTCTGGGTGTACTTCGGAACAGCTGCTGCTAAGTGAGGTGGGCTGCTGCTACACTGGCTTGCAGCCATCCCATCTCCTGAGGTTTGCTCCCGTGTCGTCTTCCCTTTTGTGAGAATGTGGACTCAGCCTCTAATGAGCAGATTCTGGCAAAAGCACTTTGGAGATTAGTTGGAAAAGACTGACTCAGTCTTGCTTGCGCTCTCTCTCCCTGACTCTGATGGGGCCAGCTACCATACTGTGAGCCGTTATGCAGAGACCGATGAGACAAGGGACTGAGGATGAATTCTCTCCCACTGTTGGGGAACTGGGACTCTCAGACCAATAGCTCCTGAGAACCCAGGTCCTCCTAACAACCACATACATGAACTTGAAATTGGATCCTTCTGCATCTATCCATGATCCTGGACACGAATGACGTGTCACCTTGTGACATCTTGATTACTGACATTTTGATTACTGCTTTGTAAGAGAGACCCTAAATTAGGAGACCCCATAAAGCACGCTCACATTCCTAACTCACAGGATCTGTGAGAAGATAAATACTGTTGTTTCCAGTTACTAAGGTTTTTTTTTTTTTAACGCGGAGGTCTATAACTAATATATCAGGTTACTCAATTTTCTGAATTCCAGTGTTCTTATCTATAACAAGGACTCCCCTCACACCTACTTACAAGGGTTATAGTGAGACTTCAGTTAGAGGATGGATCTAAGCCAAATGCAGTGCCTGGGATGTATTAGGCACTTAGAAAGTGACTATTGTTGTTATACATAAAAGGCAGCAAAACCTGGGGACAGTTGAATCGTACAGAAACAGCCCACTGAGTTTAGGCTTGTGACGCCCATAGCTGCCCTCTCACAGTATAACTACACTCTGTCATCATTGTTGATTATGGCCTGGATGATGACACAGCTATGCATATTGTGTCATCACTATTTCTCCCGTGCCTGGCAACAATCAGTGAGGGTTTATTGAGTGAATGAATTATTAAATTAATGAGAAGGGTTGAGAGATTCCCATTCCCATTGGGATGTTTAGTACTTAATGTGGCTGGCACTTTTCCCAGGAGATAGCAGGGAGGGGAGGAAAGGATGCAGAGCTGGAGGACCAGGGCCAGCTCTGCTGCTTGTTAGCAGATCCTCCCCTGCTTTGTGTGTCACCGAGGCAAGAAGCCAGGACTTCTCCCAGCCTCAGTTTTCTCTTGTGTCAAATGGGAGTAATCTTACACAGTAGGATTGCTATGATTGGGTGAGTCCTGCATACCAAAGCGTTTTGCAACACGGCAAACACAAGGCAAATATTGACTATTGAGAATGTTGGTGGTGACTGGTCCAAGATGACTATTCTTCTCAAGTGGCCTATTATTCAGGCAGGCACGTCTTGACATAACTCACCCTTTAACATGGTTTGCAAGATAAAATGAAAGTGGACCATAAGTAAAATCCATGCAATAATTTCACATACAAACAATATTCTGACAAATTTTACTTTGTAAATTCTCTGGAAGTGTTTTCTTTTATCAGTGGGTAGAATGCTTTTCTTCTAGCTGACTTTATTCACCTCTGTGGTTGGTATGCTTGGGGTTTGCAAATGGGAAACATGTTCTGTTACAGATTTGATTTTAGCAAGTAGGGACATTGCGGTTTTGTTTTCACAATGTGGTGTTGGTTAATTTGGGTCCTACATCTTTGTTTTGTGCCCAGTGACAGGTGGGTAAGGGAAACAGAGGCTCTAGGGGGCCCTTGTTCTGTATTCAGTGGAGTTAATTCCCAAGGAACCAGGCTCTGAGCAGCAGCCGGTTCTGCTTACAGAAATCAAAGTGCGGCAAGAAGGGTAGACCAGAGTCCTTGAAGAGGGCAATGGCAAGGCCCCTTCCCACCGTGCCTCAGCCTCCCTTTTCCAAACGCCACCCTCTGCACAGCGTCTTCTTCTAGCACTTTCCAAATGCTTCAGTGAGAGGGTCACCAGTGTGTCATAAAGGAAGGCACATGCCATGCACACGAGCTTGGGAGACAGGACGTACTGCAACTCTCACTCAGAAAATCACAGGGTTTCTGGTAGACAACTAGCAAGATGGTCAAAATAAACATCATGTGCTTACAGCTAATTGCTTCCTTTGTTCTTTTATCTCTTTCATAAATATGATAACCTTCTTTCTTCTTGATGTTTAGTTAATTTATTTGTTTATTTATTTACTTATTTATTTTTTGCAGTACTGGGCATTGAATCCCTAGCCCCTTTAAAAATTTTTTTTAAAAAATTTTGAGACACTGTCTCACTAAACTGCTAAGTGGCTCAGGCTGAGCTTGAACTTGCAACCCTCCTGCATCAGTCTCCCAGTGTGCTGGGATTACAGGTCTGTGCCACTATATCTGGCCTATTTTCCATCTATTTGTATACCTACCTCCTTGGATTCTCTAAAACTGTGGCTAGCACAGACTAGGTTTTTCATCTGGGTCCAACAGAGTGCTATGAATGGAACAGCTGCTCAATAAATGCTTTTGGAGTAAACTGGTAGAATAATGAATGTCACATCATCTACAGTGGGTCACATAGGCAGACCTTGGAAGAAGGTACAAGGAGGTGAAAAGAGCCAGAATTTAATGGGCCAGAACCAGACAGTGATGCATAAACACCTTATTTCTATCTGCTGCTCCAGGCTGAGTCTGTATTCAGGGCAATATACTTAGTCATCATCTCAAACTATTTATCCTAACATTATCCAGTGTCCTGGGAGTATGGTCTCTGTGTCCTTTCCTACTCAGTGACATTTCCTCATCCACAGCATCCTCATCACATTTTTTTCCCTAGAGGCCCTGAATTTGTTTACTGGGGAAAAGCAATTTAGAAACTGCTTATCTTGATTTAGAGCTAATGAATCCAAATGCAGTGCCAATTTTAAATTACTAATCAGATGATCATCTCACAATAACCATGGATACTCGTGGATAGATACCAGCGCAGATCATGCTTTAAACACCTGTGTCACCAAGCACCTTGCTCATGCTGGGGGGCGGAAGGTAATGATTGGAAGCTTTGAATGACTCTCAGAGCATCCATTGCTAATCAGGCCTCCCTTTGCTTGAAGAATAAACACAAACAAGTAGCAAAAAGGACTGTAACTCAGATTGGCCCATGAGGCAGGATAATGTGTGCTGGTATCAGGTGTCCTCCTCTCTAGATTTCATCAGTGAAAATTCTCTACCTTCCAGTGGGGTCAGCTGACATGTATCTGGGGGCCTGAGTAGTAGAAAAAGAAGGTGACCTTTCAGATTGTATATATATATATATATATATATTTGCTTCCAAATCATAGTGATTGTTGGAGGAAGGGAAGCAGGACTGTGTGTTCTTGCTTCATGGTTTGCAAGAAGAAATGCTGGCGGGAACTCAGGCTTGAGGTCTGTGTTCTGCCGAGCTGACACTGGTGACCTGTAGAGCCAGTGGTGGAATCCTTCATGGTTCAGTAGGGATGTGAGATGCTTCAGGATGTGTCTGGGTCGCCCCACTGAGATTCAAGTGTCATTCACTGTTGAGGAAGGGAAAAGCCCAGAGGAAATGATGAGAGCAACGACACTGTTTTGCTTGTGCCACTCAGGGGTCCCAGCTAGGGAAGCCAAAGTGGTACAGCTGATCTTCACTAAAAATGACATTTGTTAAATTGCTACGTATTGAAAAGGATTCATGAGGCATGGCAAAGACAGAATAAATGACTTTCTTTTTGTTTTTACCAGTCTTTTCTGGCTCCAGGATGGAAGACAGGGCTGGCGGCCAAAGGAGAAGGGTCAGGAACACTAAATGTCAGTAAAGAATAAAGGAAAGCAGAGCTAAGGACAAGGGGAGGTTTCAGTGTGACAAGCGGATAAACCAGGCAGTGGATTCCTAGGTAAACAAGTGAAGGCTGAGTCATTCAAAACTGAAATTGTGGTTGGAGCCTCGGAGGCAAGGCAGAAAATCATTAGCACAAATTAATCATCCACTGCTTTCAACACTAAAAATCATACTGACCTACACAAACCAAAAAGGCCAGAGAAGAGGCCAAAGGACTGCTCTGGGGTCTGCAGGCTTTTGAAGGCGGGCTGCTCTCCTGGCAGGCAGAGCAGAGTGGTGACTGGGTGGGAGCTGGTCTGCAATGCTCAGGACGAAATAATAATGTCAGAGATCTTTGTGAGGTCGAAAGAGGGGACGATTCCTACAGACAAATGGGAAGAGAAGGTCAGCCCTGAGTGGGGTCTCACACTTGTTCATTAAGAAAGGGGCTGCTGCTGAGCTCCGCTCTGGCAAGAAGAGCTGTTTGGCTTGGTTCCCTCTGCAGAACCCTGTGGGTGGAGGAAAGGTACACCTCATGCAGTCCAGGGGACAGGCTGACCATGCACGGGGAACCCCATCCCAGGAGCTGGTGAAGACACGACTACCTCATCTCCACCAAGGCTGGTGGGCTCCCTGCAGTGTGCACGGCCTCTGGATTTGGGGGTGGAAGCTTTACCCCACTTCATGCCTAGGCAGTATCCCCTCCCCAAGGAACTGTCTGATAATCACTCCTCCTCCAGGGGTTGGGATTGGGGTGGGAGGATGCTTGGGGTCCTGCTGTCTTCCCAGACTTGTCGTGGTTGGGACCTGTGAGCTCTGTGGAGGAGTGTGGTGGTCAGGACGCAAAATGTAAGAAGGCAGGCACACTCAGGTCATGTGAGCACCCAGGTGGTGCCTCCTTACCTTCTGCCCCCGTCCTGTACCTCAGCTACCCTAGTGCTGGCCCTAATCGGGGTCAGTTATCCTGGCTCTGCATTTGTTGGAGCTCATGTCTTTGTCTGATGTCTAGAGAATCTGTGGCCACCACGCAACATGGTGGGATGTGGGTGTTTCGTTCTTTGCAGCTACCAAACTCCTAGGAAGCTGTGGGTACCACTACAGAAAGGTCTAGTAGGGACCCACTGCTATGGGTGTTCCTTCCTAGGTAGGGGGAGGTAAGAAACAGAGCTCCAACCACTGTAAGCTAAGGGAATCCCCAAAGGACACAGATCAACTTTTTAAGTCACTCATCTTTTTTTTTTTTTCTGATTAGAAAGAATAAGTGAATATTCCTTTATAAAGAAAATAAAAACTACCTATAATTCCAACCTCCAAATTTCCGTATTATTTCTGTGCTGGTTGGTTCATTTACATGCTCATCTTTAATTATGTGGTCCTGGCAGTGACAACAAGGAGCATGAGGATGAAGGTCACCACAACAAAACTGGGTGCTAATTTCTCCACACAACCCCTGTGCTAATTGTTTTACACACATTGCCCCACTTGCTCTTTCTCCTGTTGACAGTCCATGAGGCCACCAATATTATCCCTGTTTTACGGATGAGGACCTGAGGCTGAGGGATGTGAACTAATGTGTCAAGGAGATATGGGATGAGAGGCAGGTCTACTTGATCCCACAGCTCAAGAGTGAGGAGATGGGTTATTCAGGGTTTTCATCTTCTTACTCTCCCTGCTCCCCATCCAGTTCCTTCCCTGTCCTCTCACACAAATGGCATACAGTGAAAGCAAAAGAGCCTGTTTTGGAGGCTGCTCACCACCAGGGAGCTCCCCCAAACCAGAGGGGGCAGTGTTGGTCTTTCTTTTCCATCTTGCTCAACTTCTCAGTAGGATTTATCAAGCTATCTCCCATCATGTGTTTCACAGGGTTGTAAGAAAAGCCTTTTGTTTCCTTTTGGTACTCATATTTTGATTTTCTAGATTGCTTTGAATCTTCCTGCTGCTGTGTGAAGCTTGGAACATAGAAAAAGCAAGAGTGCACGGGAAAGGATGGTGTCTGCCTCAGATCCAATGCTGACTTGCCTGTATCAGATGAAAAGTAGATCCGAGGTAAAAAAAAAATACACTGAATGAGATTAATAGCTGATTAGATAATGGAGAAGAAAAGATTAGTGACTTTGAAGCTATAACAATAGAAAATATAGTAGTAGAGATTCTTGTTCCAGCTCAATGTTTCAAAGTACTGAATTTGTTCCTAGTAGCCATGGGCCTGCTTTGGATCAATGTTACTAGCCCTGGAAAAGACCCCTCCGTATGACCTGGCTTTATTCAAGTAGGGTCTTAGTATTAAACTCAAATTTCCAGCCAAGAATAAAGTGCTGTTAGCCTTACTTTGCTTTTCTTCATCTGGAGGCTCAGATCTCCCTTTGGAATCTTGAGTAGAGAGTCATGAAAAATTATTCAACACTTTGAGATAAAGCCAAAGGATTATTGTGTGATCTGTCAATGTCATCTCAGGTGATGTTACTGAATGTCTGGTTTGCGGACTAATAGTGCCACCTAGGAACTTGTTAAAATGTGGATGCCCAGACCCTGCTCAAGACGAGATAAATCATCTGAAAGACAAGTATTTCAGGATGCCAGGGCCTAGGAATCTGTGGTTTCAAACTATTTAGGAAGCACTGACCTAGAGAAGTTTTGCTAAGGCCTTCTCACTCTCTGGGTGAGTGCAACACAGTACGTGTCCTTAATTTGGGCTCAAATCTTTTACAAAACTACTAAAATGGTGATGATTTTAATTTTATGTCTGCTAGAAAAGACAGCTTCAAATATTATGGAGTTATTGCTCTTTTGGATGTAAACGAGTTTTGCATTTAAGTTTGCAATTTTACTTCAGCATGCATTTCTTTCCCCCATGGCCTACAGAAATCTTATTTTTCATGTTCTCTTTTGAATCAGCTTTGTCATCTTTCTGGGCACCTCATTCGTGAGTTGAATAAAACTTTGACATGTGCTTACTTATCTGTCTATATGAAAATTAGGTTTTTAATATTGTGAGAATTGTACTTTGGCAGAAGGAGAACCAAGGGAAGACAGGATTCATCTCTTTTTCAGACTCCTGGTTAAATACTGTCATGACGTTCTCTGCCCCAGTCAGGGTATATTTGGTTACAAATAGCAGAAGCCAACTCAAATTAGCTCAAATGAAAATGGATTTATTGGAACAACATAGAAAGTCTCAAATTTGCCTGCCTTCCCCCTGGTACTTTTAGATCTTCTGCTCTAATCCACAGCTTCTGATAAATGGGAATTTGATCATATAATTGGTAATTTCAGTACCTCGTGAGTGATTTTTTTAAAAGTTTCATTTTCTTGTTATATAATTGTTGACATTTAGAAATAGAACTTAGTTTTCCATATTGATCTGGGTATGTTTACTTAGGAATCTTGTTAAATCCACTTAGTTTTGTAATTTATAGGCAAATTCTTTTGTATTTTCTATGAATACAATCAGGTCATCAGGATTATTTCTATTCCAATCCTTTTACCTTTGACTTCTTTTTCTGGTCTCTACCGGCTGGTGCTTAGCATGTTGCTTTATAGAAGGGATGTCAGCAGTATCTATGCCAATTCTCCTTGGAAAGGAGCACTGCCCGTATTTTACCATTCAACATTCTCTCAGTCAGTGTCTGTTAGGATACAGAAACCATACCAGTTATTTTAAGAGAGTGAATTTATTTATTTATCTCTAAAATATTTTTATTAATATCTATTAATTTTACAACATACTGGGCTTCCATATGGTGTCCTCATGCATGGATATGTCATTTTGATAATAGCCACCCCCACTGTCCTTGCTTACACCCACTGACCCTCACACTTACTCCCTTTCTCTTGTTTTGAGTGAATTAAAGAATTTTTAGCTACATTTTGGAGAATAGAAAGGCAAAGAATAGACACTAGGTATCACAAGAGGTACTAACCACAGGAAGAAGCTACCACCCTGTGACTGGGAAAATCCATACTCATAAAATTTACAAGCTTAAAGGAGGGTCTTTCTGGGTTCATGGTATAGAAACTTGGGAACTGCTCCCTTCCTGACTAGTGCTAGTAGCTGGGGACCTTAAGGGGTGTCTCTTAGAGCTGAGATTCAGGCCTCTGAGGAAGCGGTAACTCCAGGGCTGATTTTAGTATCTTTGAGGTGGAGTGCACGGGAGAGCGATGCTAACGTAGGAAAAACTGCAGAGTGGAGCAAACAGCTGCTGTGAGAAACAAATGTCCCTGCCAGGGTGAAGAGTTTCTGATGCATGAGTACAGACAGAGACAGGGCGCAAACAGAAGAGATGGAGAGCCTTCCTCCTTCGCCAGCCGCTGCCTCGTCTTCTGCCCCAGCTTGGTACAGCTTCGTGTGGAGCCACTGGCAAAGCAAAAGTGTGACTTGTAGAGCCTCAGAGCCCATCACAAAGTGAAGGAAAGAAGGATGGATTTGAAGCTTAATAATAAAAGTGTTCAAAAACGTGAAACCCTTAGGGTGTTGCTGTAGGACTTTTGTATATACGTTCATCAGATGAATGTACTTTATCAAGACATTCCTTGTTTCAAGCAGATTCAGTTATACTTTGTTGCTGAATCTTTATAATGGATAGTGTTTGACTTTTACTAAATGCTTTTCTGTATCTATTGAGACTGACGTAGCTTTTCTTCTTTATTCTTTTTTAAAATTTTCCGCCCCTATTCTGCTAGTGTTGTCAGTTATAAGGGTCAATTTAGATTGTTTGGTCAGTCTTCCACTCCTGAAATAAATCTAACTTGATTGTGTTGTATGGTGTAGTTTACCTATGCTGGATGTGCTAATATTGTGTTTATATCATGAGATTGATGATTTTGTTTCTAACTGCCCCATCAGGTTTGGTATCTTGGTTATTCTGGGCTCATGACACAGGTGGACACACATACTATTTGTTATTATTATCTGCATATGTGTGTACACAATGAATGCATTTTAAAAGATATTTAGAAAAGTTGGAGAAGCCATCTGGACTGGTATTTCTTTAAATAGGAAGACTTTCAATATGATTTTTGTTACTCAACTTCTTTAACGAATTTAAGAGTTCATTATGAATATGAATATGAAGAATAAAATTTGCTCATTAAGGCAAATCACACAGAATTTTGGGTCCATTTACCTTTAGTTTCTTTTTCTCCAAGTGCTTAGAATTTCAGATACTATCTTATTTGTCACCTAAAACTTCACTTTATTTCTGTGGGCTCATGAATCTATCAAAAGTTACTTTATTGTTGGCTTCCTAACCTACTTCGTTTACAAATCCACAGAGGAGGTTAGGCTCACGGAAGTACCCGTCTCTTCTCCCTGGGTTTTGGATTAGCAATTTTTGGTGCATTGGCTGATTACTGATATCTATCAGTGGCAGCTGTTTTAAGCAGATGTTTGTTATATCTATTCAGCATGTGTGATGGCTCTTAGCAGGAGAGGTGGTCTGATGAAGGGTACTCTAATACAGCTGAAGTGGAGGTTCTCTCTAATATATTTTTAAAAGGTTAAAATTTTTATTTATATAATTGAAGGTTCAAATTGACAATGAGAGACACGTTTTTGATGTAGGCCTCTAGGCATGCCAACTTCAAATGTGAGAACTAAGTAAGTACAACAGGGTTCTCTTTGTTTTGTTGGGGATGTAACAACTGCACAGATTTTTATGCTACTTAGAAGATAGCAGAGATGACTTTTCTTCAGGAGACCATTTCCTAAATTGCTCTGGGGAACACAAATGCCCTGTGTGGTTTTAACAGGTGTTCTGTAGTTTAAAAAAAAGTTTTTTTTGTTGAATTATTTTGGGAAGTGATGGTTAAACAGAATTCTTTACTTCACAATCTCACTGTCTCTGAGCTCTGTGTATGCTATATGTTTTGTAAGTCTCCAAGAGGGAGATATGACATGCAGAATTTCCTAAATTTATTTGATCAAAGAACCCTTTGATGAATGACTTAGGGAGAGACTATTATTCCACATGCTATAGTACAGAAAATACTGGTTTAAAAGACAAAAAAGGCTAAATTGAAGTTTAGATGAACTTTGGCCATTTATTGGTTGTGTGATGTGTTATAAGACTGCATTTCTGATCCTTCATTTTCTTATTTGTAAAATGAAGAGGCTGCACCTGAGATATCTGAGGTTCAAGCTTTCCTCTTTCATGATATCATTAAGAACATTGCCTGCACCACACAATATTCTACCCAGTCGCTACTCTTACCAGTGCCTTCTTTATTTTTAAGGAGTCCTTGGATTATCAAGACACAATTCTAGTTAGTGAGACAAAATACCCAACACTTAAAGTTAAAGGAGGAAAAATTTATTGTAGATCACAGTTTATATAGGTTTTAGTGCACGTTTGGCGGGCTCCAAGGCAGGGTGGAATGGCAGAGGAGAAAGAGTTCATGGCAGGCAGGAGGCAGCAAGCAGCAAAGTAACGAAGCAGCAAGCGACAACAGCAGCCCTCCTTCTGTCTCTTATATTCTATCCAGGCTACCTGCCCTTAGGGAGAGTAATACTCACACACCAAGTGAGGCACCCTTAATCCTAGCATCACATGTTTAATCCCAACATCACACACTCCAGATCTAGCCACTTCTGAAAAGCCCCATCTATGACCATGTGAGGCTTTGGAGGGATATCTAGACACAAGTCATAACAACTACCTTTGAATTTAAGTCAAAATGTTATCCTGAAGAGATAAGGTCAAAAAACCTCTGACCTTCCAAGATATGCCATACAGTGACTGTAAAAGCACAGGGTGATATGGTTTTCTTATTGGGGGCACAATAGGTTTCATGATGCTTTGTATAGAGTTACTGATCCTGGTGATCTTTATCTTTATTTTTTCATGACCTCATAGGAAATAGAGAACAGGACAATATTCAGGGTACATGAAACATAGGGAATTAAGAACAGAACCTGTCTTTAAAAAGCTGTGATATTCTAGGGCTTCCTGGGCTCTTTCTCACTACTGATTAGAGAGAAAATTAGTTATTTCAAAAGTTGGTGTTAATCAGAAGAAAAAGACCTCTCAGAAATTTTAGTCAAAGCAGACTTCATGCTAATTTTAAGTCTGAATTTATATGAACTTGCCAGCTCAAAAAACATTGACTCAAGAATCTAATTGAAAGTTAGAGTTACAATGACAGGCTTTCAGGAATGTAACAAAGTCAATGCAAATCATTTTGGGGGAAGCTATCTCCATCTCAGGCCTAAAAAATTCCCAAGAACAAATCTGCAAACAAACTGAGAAGCTCATCATAAAAAATTTCAAGGATTGAAGGCACCAACAGAAAAAACAGACTTCAGAAACAGAGCTATAAATACTCTAGATCAGTGGAGGCAAAACTATGGCCCAGTAAGCTGGTTGAAGCCTCTAAAAGGTTTACCATCACTGCTCTAGACATTCATAACTATGGTTAATATGTTTTGAAAAGTAAAGGATAGCTCGAAAATATAAGCAATGGAAAGAATCCACAAAGAATAGGCTAGAAAAATTGAAACAGAATAAAATAGAATCTTTTAAAACAATAAATATTGTATTTAGAAATTAACATGTATTTTACCCATCTAACCATATATTATGTATAGCTGAATGGAATTAGTGAAATGAAAGATAAAAGACATTATCTAGATTGTAGAAACAAAGAATTGGAAAAGATAAAAGGTTATGAAGTATGGTGAATAGAATTAAAATGGCTAGAAATAAAACAATTCAATCGTAATTATATTACATGAGAATGAACTACACAGCACGCTTAAAAGACAAATATGATCACACTGAATAGGAAACAAAATCTAACATTATTTCTTGCTAGGAAAAAGGGTACACCAGGAAAACAACAGCTAAAAGAAAACTGGTTAGCTTTATAAATATTAAAATAATTCATGGGGGATAAGTATTTCTAGTGAAAGTATATCCCTTCATTTTGAGATGATTAAATTCAGTAGAAATAATAATTCTGAGTTTACATGAATCTTAATAATATAGCCTCAAAATAGATGAGGAAAAAGTTTACAAAGAAAATAGGCAAAACCACCACCATACTGGGAGATTTTAATATATCTTCTTCAGTAGTAAGAACACAAAGGCTAAAAAAATGACTAAGGATTTATAAGACATAATACAGTGCATAGCATTGTTAATTTGCATAACACATGGAATGTTTTACTTAATCATGGATCAATGGTTTCTTTTTTTTTTTTTATTAACAGACCTCCATTTACAAGATAGCGGGGGCTGGGGATTTAGCTCAGCGGCAAAAGCGCCTGCCTGGCGAGCGCAAGGTCGTGAGTTTGGTTCCCGGAACCAGAGAAAAACCAAAAAAAACAACAACAACAACAAAAAAAAAAAAAAAAGAAAAAAAGAAAAAACAACCATTTACAAGATAGCACAAGAACAATACAAGCAATACTGAATTACAGACAGGGTGACATGAAATTGACAATGGTTGTTGTATTATGTATTGATATCTTCAAAGTGGTTACTCAGGAAAACAAATATAGACATGCAAGATTGATCAAATAATTAATCATTAACTATTCCTCTCAATAAAGTGATAGAAGTCAGTAGTACAACTACGTTAGCTATCCTGTATATACATACTTACATAATTTT